AAACTAAGATGAAATAACAATTTAAGCAGATCTATAACAAGCAGTAAGGTTTAAACAGTATTTAAAAATTTCCCACCACAAAAAGTCCAGACCTAGATGGATCCACTGGTAAATTTTACTACATCTTCAAAGAAGAAATAACAGGATAATAATGTTTCTCAAACTATTCTATAAAATAGAAAAGGAAGGAACATTACCGATTTTTTAAATGAAACTAGTATTACTCTGATACCAAAATCAGATAAAGATACAACAAAAGAGGAAAATTAAGAGACTAATTTCCCTGATAAGCACACACACACACACACACACACACACACACACACAAATTCTCAACAAAATGATTGCAGAACACATCAAAAAGACCATTCATTGTGATCAAGTTGATTTATTCCAGGGATGCAAGGATGGTTCAATATTCATAAATCACATATGTTATAAATTACACAATAGGCTTAACACAGAAATCAATGGTCATTTCAATAGACAGGAAAGGCTTTTGACAAAATTCAACATTGCTTCATGTTGAAAGTCTGGAAGAAATCCAGAATGGAAGGACAATATCTCAACGTAATAAAGACAATATATGACAAACCTGTAGCCAATATTATATTAAATGAGGAAAAACTTAAGATGTTTTCACTAAGATCAGGACAAGACAAGGGTGTCCATTTTCTTCAATGTAGTACTAGAAGCCTTTTCTAGAGAAATAAGACAAAATAAACAAAGAGACATCAATACAAAAGGAAGACGTCAAAGTATCTGTATTTGTAGATGGTATGATTCTATGCATAAGACATACTAAAGACACTACCAGAACAGTCTTAGAACTGATAAAGGCTTTCAGTAAAGTGGTAGGACACAAAATTAAGATACAAAAATCATATATGCCAATGGCAAGCATACTGGGAAAGAAATCAGGGAAACAATTCCATTCACAATGGCTTTAAAACACTTAGAATAAACATAACCAAGGATGTGGAAGACCTCTATAAGGAAAACTTTAAAATGCTGAAATTGAGGACGACACTAGAAGATGTGAAGACCTCTCCCACTCCTGGCTCAGAATCAATGCTGCAAAAATGACCATCCTACCAGAAGTCTACAGATTCAATGCAATTCCAATCATTTCTATGACATTCTTCTCAGAAATAGAAAAAGTCTTAAAGTTCACACGGGAGCACAAATACCCCAAATAGACATAAGAGAATACTGCTGTAGGAATCACCACACCAGCTTTCAAGTTACTATAGATTCAAAGGGGGGGAAAGCACAGTACTAACACAGAACAGATACACAGATCAATGGAATAGAATAGAGGACCCAAATGCAAGGCCACACAGATAAAACGTGATTTTTTTTTTTTTACAGAGATGCCCAAAATACACATTGGAGAAAAGACAGCATCCTCAACAAATGGTGCTGTGGAAACTGACTATCTATATGTAGAAGAATGAAACCAACTGCTTATCTTTCACCCTAAATGAAAATCAACTCCCAAGTAGATCAAAGACCTGAAACTCTGAAACTGCTAGAAAAAGTAGGGATTATATTTCAAGATATAGGCATAGATTAAAAAACCTTTCTGTATGGAACTCTGATTGTGCAGGGAGTTAAGTCAATAAATAACCAACAAATGTGATCTCATGGAATTAAAACTTGTGAATCACAAAGGAAGCTATCAAAAGAGTGAAGAGGCAACCTACAGAATGGAAAATTGGCCAGCTATACATCCAACAGAGGATTAGTGCCTAGAACATACAACAGAATACACTCAAGAAACTCAACAAGAAAACAAGCAACCCAGTTTTCAAATGGGCTATGACACAGTACAGACAGTTCTTAAAATAAGAATGCAAATGGATATTAAATATTTTTAAAAGTCTTCAGTATTACTAGCCATTATTTGCATATGAAAGCTACTTTGAGTTGCCACTCACCCCAGTCAGAATGGTTATTGACATTCTTGTAAGTGACAATAAATGCTAACAAAGATGTGGATAAAGGGGAATCCTTAATCATTATTGGTGGGAGTGTAAGTTGTTGAAGCCACTATGGAAATCAGTGTGGAGGTGTCTCAAAAAGCTGAAGATAGATCTACTGTATAATAGAGCTATATCACTTATGGGCACACACCCAAATGACTTCATATCCTAGATAGTGCTATGCATACCACTGGGGGAGAAGAGTCATCAATGAACTTACTCCACAATGGACTCTGCATGATGCATACTGTATTGGTTACTTTTCTGTTACTGTGATAAAACACTATGGCCAAGGCAACTTATAGAAGGTAGAGTTTATGTGGCTTATGGTTCCAGAGGATTAGAGTCTATGATGGTGGGGGAGGCATAGAGGTGGCTAGAGCAGAAAGCCAAGTGACCACATCTTTAAGCAGGCACAGGAACCAGACAGTGACTGGAAATCCAGCAAGGCTTAAGAAGGTCAAATCCCACCCCCTAGTGATGTGCTTCTTCCAGTAAGGCCACACCTTCTAAGACCTCCCCAACCAGCACCACCAGCTGGGGACAAAATGTCTGAATACTTGGAGCCTATGGGGGACATTCTCATTTAAACCACTACAAATACCAACCCACTGGTGGCATGGCTATTTGGGGGTGGTAACCAACCACTTTCCGATTAGATTTGAGGCCTGCTCCACAGGAAGAATTCATGCATGTTACTATAAATCTGGTCAAAAGCCCATAACCAGAGAAATCATAGGCCCTAAGGAAGAACCTACTACTGTTGTCTTGCTAGATGGACATGTTGTCTTCTAAAATCTGTTTATACCCATAGATTAGTGCTGTTCTCAGCCTTGGTCAGAGAAGCTTGTTCTTGTATTGGGCAGCCTTTAATTCAGAGATTCATAACTGGTCAAAATGTGACTGTTGAGTGCTCAGCCCTAAATGGGACATCTAGAACAATCCCCCAAAACTTAGGGAACATTGCAGAAAAGGGGGTGAAAATAAGAGCCAAAGGATGGGAAGAAGTGTTCTGAGATGCTGCTTTTTGGACATGACATGGCTATTGCAGTCATGAACTCATAGTAGCCACGACTAATTGCACAAAACCTGCACAAGATCGAGCCAGTCAATGTTCCAGCATGTGTGAAGGAAGTGCTCATGATACCCCAACCTTAGCTGAGGAGCTATTTGTGACTGGTGGTTTCTGGGACAGGAGGAGCCTATTTTCTTTGGGGGTGTGGCCAGTAGTAAGTTTCCAGTGGGCATGGGCCCACACTCATGCACATTGAATTCAATGGGTTATTTTTAAAAATATTTTATTATTTTCTTTGTTTCATGTGTATGAGTGTAATGCCTGTGTGTAGGGTAGATGCAATTGTATCATGTAGTGCCCTCAGAGGTCAGAGCAGAGTGATGGATGGC